TCAATGTGCATCCATTTAGCTATAAATGTCTCTAGTTTCTCATTCTTTATGGCTGAGTAGTACTCCACTTTATTTAAAAAGTCACATCTTCTTTATCCAGTCTCCAGTTGATGGGCATTTGGGCTGTTTTCAAGTTTTAGCTATTACAAACTGTGCGGCTATAAACATGGGTGCACATATATCGCTGTGATGATTCCTTCAATACTCATCAATTACATTCTAAAAGGCCCCACCCAGTTGCCATCACCTTAAAGAGAAAGAATGACAAGATACAGGTGCTATTTTCCAAGGTGGCCAAAACATTTTGCATTTCCACAAACAATATGTAGGAATTCCAGGTGTGCCACATCCTCTCAGCACTTCGTATTCTCGGTTTTTCTCCTCATTTGACTTTTAGCCACCGTAATAGGTGCTAACAGTTGTTACTAAATTTCTCAATATTTTTGTGGGGAAATTTGAAACAAGATTTCAAGCCCAGGCAGACCTCAAACTCACAAAATTCTGCTGACTCTATCTGCTGAGTGCTGGGATTACAGGTGTGTACTGCCATGGCAGGCTGATTTCTCAAATGTTTTATCAGGTGGACAATTTTTTAGGAAAGGCATTATATATGTAATGTAGCCCCCAGTTACCATTAGAACAATGTCTATTACTATTACATAGAACTAACAGCAAACTAATTCATCAGTGCAAGTGTATATTGGGGAAAGCAACCGCCCATGAGGTTATGGTAATCATAAAATCACTACTTAACCGTTTTTAAAAAATTAGTGTTGACTTAACATACCAAATGATCTTGCCCCTACATATTTTAAAGATTTGGTAAAAGAAAAGCAGTTTTATTCTGCATTTAAGTCTCACCACCATCATGGAGATTTCACTGTGGATAAAAACCACCAGATGCTGATCTTCTCCCCTCCTCCCTTGCAGCCATCATTGTCCTACCCTCATGTTCATTAGCTCTTGGAACAGAACCATACACTAGTGTGATTTTTAAAAACCCATTTTTACAATATTTTAGTAGGATCTCTATATATGTCTATTTATTTGGAATGCTAGGACTTCAACCCAGAGACTTGCACAAACAAGCCTTCTACCATTGAGCCTTTCTTCATATCATTTTTTTTTTTTTGGTACCAGGGATCGAACTTTGGACCTTGCTCTTGAAAGGCAGGCAGCAGAAACACGGAGCTAAATCTCCGGCCCTCATATCATTTTTAATGATTACATATGAATCTACACTTATCAAAATATACTCGATGTATTTTATTATTTATTTATTTTTATTTTATTTTGTTTTATTTTGGTACCAGGGATCGAACTCAGATCCTTGCGCTTGCACAGCAGGCGACAAAACCACTGAGCTAAATCCCCGGCCTGTATTTTATTATTTATTATTGGTGGCACTGGGGATTGAACCCAGGACCTTCCCACTGAGCAACATCTCCATCCTTTTTTTATTTGGAGACAGGGTCTCACTGTGCCCCTAATTGCCCAGGCTGTGATTCTCCTGACTCAGCCTCCCAGAGTGCTGGGATTACAGGAGTGTGGCACCATCTAGCTATTTATTTATTTATTTGTCCCAGGAATCGAACTCAGGACCTTTCGCTTGCGAGGCTGGCCAGATGCCACTGAGCTAAATCCCCAGCCCTCTAGCTAATTTTAAAATAGAATAAAAGTCTTCAATCTCTAATGGTGCAATTGTCATTTGGGTGTTTGTTATTAAACAAGGTTTTGTTTTGTTCTGTCTTATTTTCTTTTGTGACAAGGTCTATGTAGTTCAGGATGGCCCTGAATTTACTATATACCCCAGGCTGGCCTTGAGCTCGAAGCACTCCTGCCTCAGCCTCCAAGTGCTGGGATTACAACTTGCACCAGCACCCCCGGCATGTCCCGTTAGAATTGAGATATGTGATCTCTTCCTACTTTAAAAATAATAACAGGAGGGCCAGGGGTTTAGCTCAAATGGCACCGCACCTGCCTCGAAAGTGCAAGGTCCTAAGTTTGAGCCCCGGTAGCTAAATAAATAAATAAATAAATAAATAAATAAAATAATAATAACAACAGGGCTGGGAGTGTAGCTCATTGATAGATCCTGTCTAGCATGGGTGAAGCTCTGGGTTTGGTCCCTAGCACCCTCCCGCCAAATAAGGCCTTTCTCCAACCTTACTAAGTATCAATCATTTTATTCGTCTCTTCATCGTCATTCTCAAGAATTGTTCCATTACTATTTCTGCTTAACTTCTGTTCTCTCACAATCCATTACGGCTCGGCTTCTGTAAGAAACCTGACCTCCTTCCCGCATGTGACACCTTGTTCTCGAAACTTGTTCGCGTCTCTTTGGGCTTGCCTGAAGTCACAGCTCTGTGAGCTGAGGGAAGTGACACTGATGACCTAAGAAGATGGAAACAAAGTTACAATAAAGCGATGCACGCGAACGACGAAGGAAAAACAGTGATTGGACAGCGATCCTCTTTGAGAGGGGACGTGGGAGAAAAGCAAAAGGGTCACACTGGGCCATGAAATAAAGTAATTATATTTTCATCCTCTTTCTTTCTCCATTCTTCTAGGGTTTGTGTACTCAAGGTAGAGGTTACTGGGGACGCGGCGAGGTGCCAAATACTGGCCCGGAGTCTCTCGGTATGGACTGGTTCCGGCAATGTTGCGCATGCGGACGAACAAGCGCCCAAGTCACCAGCGGAACCTCCGCGTTGAGCAGAGGTTGCAGCACGGCGCCAGGCTGCAGGAGGCAGAGGCGTGCGCGCACGCCTAGTGGCGCTTCCGGCACAGCCTGCCGTGGTAGCGGTCTCTAGGGGTGTAGGTTCGCTGAGTGAGGGTGTGCACCCTTCTACGCGCCGTCGCGGTCTCCCAGGGGGCTGAGGCCAGTGTGGGACACCTCGGTGGCGTGTCCAAGGCTGCCTGTGCATCACTGCCTCTCTTGTCCTGTCCCCGGCCAGTGGCGCTGAGAAAGGGCTTAGTGTGACGAGTGGGAATAGCAAGAAAAGATCCGGTTAGATTTCTGTGCACATCGAATGAAGTTAAGTCCTGTGAGCGAGCACATAGCAAAAAAAGAAAGAAAATGAAGTTAAAGTTTAAAGAACTAGAGAGTCGCCTGCAACAAGTGGATGGATTCGAAAAACCCAAGCTCCGTCTAGAACAGTACCCAACACGGCCGCACATTGCAGGTAGGGCGGCTGGCTCACCGTACCCTTGCTTCCGATTAGTGCTGTCCACTCGCTTCGTGATGAAAATGGGAGTTACTTGAATACAGAGAATGCCTAGAGAAATTCTGCCCTCAGATCCTGTGTCACATTAGAGAGGTCTTGAAATCGAAACTAAGGACACCTCCACGCACTTCACACTATCACTTTACAGATTGGTTTTATGCATACCTCTTAACACTTTGACATCTTTTTTAATGTTTCTCTTATCACACTATAAAATCCTTGGGAGCTAGGAATTTGTTAATATTCTTCATCCCTGAATTGCCTAAAAAAGTTGCTGGTTCTGGGAGGCTGAGGCGGGAGAATCGCGAGTTTGAGCCCAGCCCGAGCAACTTAGCGTCCCTCTTTCAAAATAAAAATTTTAAAAAGATCTGGGGGGGTGTAGTTTAGTTTGAAAACCCCGAGTCCAGTCTCGAGTACCGTGAAAAAGAAAAGTTGCTGGTTCTGTGGAGCTCAAAAAGTACCTTTAAAACCAGGCGTAATGGCGCAAGCCTGCAATCCCAGCACTCCTGAGGCTGAGGCAGGAGGATTGATTCGAGTTCGAACCCAGCCTGGACTACATTGTGAGTTCAAGGCCAGGCTAGAATATTCAGCGAGACCCCGTCTCAAAAAGCAAAACAAGCTAGTTTCTAAGCTGGCTATTTGCATACCTGCACCAAACTACAACATTGTCGTAGTCCCATCCAAAAGTTCACGCAAAACTACATGTAGGTTGATTAGTTCAATCAATTTAGGTGAGGACTTCTTAGTCTTCTGCTTGTAGGAAATTTTTAAGGAATTTTTTTTTCAGTATAACCCACTGCTTTGTTCACCCTAGGCAAGTTCTATGTGCTGAGCTATGCCCTGAGCCCTCCCCCCTTTAAAAAATTTTGACAAAGATCCTCACTAACTTAATCAGACTGGACTTGAACTTTCAATCATCCTGCCTCAGCCTCCTGAGAAGCTGGGATTATGGGAATTACAAACCTGTGCCACAATGCTGGCAAGATCCAATTTTTTAAAATATAAAAATCATCTGTAGCAGTAATCATGACAGCATGGTTAGTCTGAAATATCCCTGCAATTTTGTTTTTAATAAAACCTGTGGGTCCTCAGCCATCAGTGATGGCCAGCAGCCCTTGATGAGTTTGGATGCCCACAGGGAGATATGCTGGTGTCACTCTGCCTAACCTACAGTATATGGAAGAGCCTTGTGTCAAAAACTTTGTAACCTCAGCAGACACTGCCCTGCTCCTCACTTCTCTAATCAGGTCTCATTTGTAGATTATGAAATGTGTGTCTGTAGATCATGTGTCTAAAAGCTGTATTGTAGGCGTAGGAGTTCATGATACCTGTGTTCTTACTGCAAAACAAGTCCTTTGTTTTTTTTTTAATGCTAATGCCTGTTTGATATTAGCAGTGCCTCAACTTGCAGATTTCTCAGATTACTAAAATTTCAAAAGTTTTGGAGACTGATACAGGTTTGCCAAATTTATATCTTGACAAGGAAGGATATTATAAAACTTATTCTAGTCTTTTATTAAAATATTTCAGCATCAAAGGAAAAAAGGTGTATTTGGAGTGAGACAAGAGAGCAAGTAGTATCTTTTGGTTTTGATTTTTTTTTTTTTTTTTTTTTTGAGAGTGTCTTACTCTGAAATTCAGGCTGGACTTGAACTCACTATGTAGCCCAGGCTGGCCTCGAACTCACTGTGATCCTACCTCGGCCTCCTGAGTGCTGGGATTACAGGCATGCGCCATCATGCCCAGCCTAGTAATCTTGAATAGACTGGAACTTCTTTACGTTAAAGTCATGATTTTAACTTAGAGACTGGTCATTTGTCATTCTTACATAGTCAGCAGAGATTATTTTTTGGGACCCACTGATGTATTATTCTTCTTCTTGGTGCCTTTTACTACATACCAAATTATTACACCTTTTTTTTTAATAATCTAGAACATCATTTGGAGGACTAAGAACTACAAAACAAATTATTTTAGAAGTCATTTGCACAAATTGGATTTTAGTAATCAGCTTGCTTACTTATATCCTGTTTTGTTTTGTTTTTAGCTTGTATGCTCTATACAATCCATAACACATATGATGACATTGAAAATAAAGTGGTTGCAGATCTAGGATGTGGCTGTGGAATGCTTAGCATTGGAACTGCAATGTTAGGAGCAGGGTAGGTGATCCAGTTTATACTATTTGGGTATGGGGTAGCTTTAATAACAAGTGTAAATAGAATCAATTGAATTATATTCATGGGATTCTACAGGATGAGTGGAGAAATAATGTGATAATAAGTACAGTTTGAATGGGCAGAAGATCAAAATCTTATTTATAAAAAGTAAGTTATAAGCCAGGTGTGGTGACACATGCCTGTAAAGGGAGGATGAGGCAGGATGATCAAAGCAAGTTCAAGGCCAGCCTGGGCTACATAGTGAGTTCAAGGCCATCCAGGACTACATAGCAAGACCCTGTCTCAAACCCTCTCCCCCCCAAAAAAATTTACAGTGATGAGAGCAGTCCTTTCTACATAAACCTGAGTTTCCATCCCTTCCCATGTTGGGAAATCATGTTGTGGTAAAGCAACGTTCACTCTTACTTTCTGTCAATTGGGTTAAAAAGTAAATGGTAAGGCTGGGGATTTAGCTCAGTGGTTCTGGCGCCTGCCTTGCAAGCGCAAGGTCCTGAGTTCAATCCCCGGTACCAAAATAAATAAATAAATAAATAAATAATAATAAAAAGTAAATGGTAAAAGTGCTATTTTTGTTGTTTTGACTTGGGAGCTGTAAGTTGCCACTGTATTTTTTACTTATAGGTTGTGTGTTGGATTCGACATAGATGAAGATGCGCTGGAAATATTTAATAGGAATGTCGAAGAGTTTGAATTAACAAATGTTGATATGATTCAGTATGATGTGTGTTCATTATCTAACAGAATGCCCAAGTCATTTGACACAGTGATTATGAATCCTCCCTTTGGGACCAAAAATAATAAAGGTTAGTAACAAGAATCGGGTGTATTGATATATTTATAGGAAAGAAAATCATTTTCTCAGGTGGGTATTGTGGTGCACTCACTCTGGGAGAGCCAGCAAGATCACAGTTTGAATCTGGCCTGGGCAATTTAGTGAGACTGTCTCAAAAAATAAAAAATGGGCTGGGGATGTAGCCTAGTGCTAATCCCCAGTACCACAATTTAAAACAAATTATTATAAATTTTATTTAAAATAACATCATTGACTGGGTTAAGTGATTTTATCACTATTCATTAAATAAACCAGTCTCTTACTTACATATTTACTACAATTTAAACTTCAACTTGTTTATTAATATATGATTAGGGAATTGAATTTTTCAGTCCTTTTCAAAAACTTGTGAAAACATCATTTATGATTTTTTTTTTTTTTTTGTACCAGGGATTGAAGTCCAGTCCTTGCGCTTGCAGAGCAGGCAGCAGAACCACTGAGCTAAATCCCCAGCCCTTCATTTATGATTTGTATACCTAATTGTTTGCCAAGTTCTTATGAATGAAAATATGAAGGATTTTACACTTTTTTTTTTTTTTGAGAAAGGGTCTCGTTATGTAGTTAAGGCTGCCCTTGAACTTTCTTCGATACTCCTGCCTCAGCCTGCTAAGTGCTGGGATTATAGGTGTACCCCAGCGGGATTTTATACTTTTACAATCTGGTTTTTTTGGGGGAAGAGGGAGGTGCTGGGATTGAACTCAGGCCTTGGTATGCTAGTAAGTACATGCTATATGACTGCACTACTCCCCCTGCCAAGTCCCTAAAATCTTATTTCTGTGTTGCAGGGAGTGAGACAGGGTCTCCCAAATGTAGTTTAGGCTGGCCTCGCGCTGTGTATTCAAGCTGGCCTCAAACTCATGGTGATCCTCCTGCCTCAGCCTCCCAAGTGCTGGGATTATAGGTGCATCACTGCACCTGGCTTAAAACCCCTTTTTTTTTTTTTTTGGTACCGGGGACTGAACTCGGGTCCTTGCGCTTGTGCAGCAGGCGGCGAAACCACTGAGCTCAATCCCGGGCCCTTAAAACCCATTTTTAATGGCTTAAAACACCTGAGGATTTCAAAATGTGCCCATCTATAAATGACTCACTATAGCTATTCATTTTGGATACACTATGGGCAAGGAAGGCAAGAAGTCATAAGAGAATTTTAAATGTACACCCCAGCCCACCAAGATGATTATGATTACTATTCTACATGTTCCCTTCTCCCTTTTTAGAAAGTCATTAACTTGGAATCTAATATTTAAAAATTTAGCCTTATTTTCTAACCAAGAGTTTTTATTCTGGCTTTAGTCTTTCAACCTTAACAGAATACTATATTTAATTTACTTAATTTTATTGTTTTATATCATGACTTATTGCAGAAAGAACTTGAAGTGGCTATTTTGGACTTTGGGGAAAACTTTTCTAAATCCTGTTCTTTAATCTTCTACTTTTGATAATAAATAATCTAAGTAGGGGCGTTTCTTTTTTCCACAGGGATAGATATGGCTTTTCTTAAGACTGCTTTGGAAATGGCAAGAACAGCAGTATATTCTTTACACAAATCCTCAACTAGAGAAGTAAGTTTAAATCATCCTGATACTGTCACTGATTTTTAAATTTGTAACACTATTTTTAGAAGTTGCTGTGAATGCTAGATACCAGTGTCTGTTTCTCCTGGCTTTTTTTTTTTTTTTGGTACCAGGGAATCGAACTCAGGACTTTGCACTTTCGAGGCAGGTGGTGGCACCACTGAGCTAAATCCCCGGCCCTGGCCTTTTTGATATCTAGCACTTAGAACTGAATTTTCTCTTTAACTAGCTAGATGTGTGATTAGCTTTTCTTCCTAGCATTCATTACTAATTTCTCATCATTTGTTCAGATAGAACTATTGCCAAGAAAGGGACTGTAATTCAGAAAGAGAAGGGTGCTAAAACTAGCTTCCATACCTTCTGGTTGTCTCTGGGACAATGCCTTTTGTCCTAGTATCAGTGTGGCTTATGTGCTTAAGGGACATGTTAAGGCCTTGTTATTTAAAATACTGAATCTTCAGCAAAGATCTGAATTCAGAAACTACCTCTCCCATTTTTCTCTCTGCCAAAATGTAACACCGAAGGGGTGTGTGTGTGTGTGTATGTGATGTATGCGAGGAAATTGGGGGAAGGGTCAGTAATTAAGAACTGTGTTATCTTGGTCAAGGCACTTGAGCTTAAGTTCCCTCACCTATACTCTACTAACTTGTACAGTACTTAGTGTAAGGAACTTTACAATTGTGAGGATTGACTTCATATTTATAAAGCACTTAGATCAGTGTCTGGCATATCTAATTGTTATGTGTTGGCTATTATTACTTTAACACATACTTTAAAGAAATTTTAAAGTGGTTTTGAAGGAAAAATATTCATGAACATATAAAAACCCTGTTGGAAATACATTCTATATGGTGACCTAATAACTTTAAAGGATAAAATCAAACAACTAAGAAAGAAACTGGCAACAATGTGGAACAGTACACATAGGCAGGCAACAGAAAGCAAGTCATTTACTGGTAAAAAAATCTTCATTCATGTGAAAGCAAACACTAGTATATTGTACATTGATATCTAAAAAACTTGGGTTGGGTGGCCCCCAAACCACCTGCCTGTTTGTTAATTTATTAGAAACTTAACAGGACCCAGCATATGGTTATACATCTAGCTGTGACTTATTACAAAAGAGTTCAGGGCCAAATCAGTGAAGAGAAAGGTACACTAGGCAAAGTCTGGGGGCAAGAGGTATAAGCTTCCCGTCCTCCCAGTAGACTAAAACGGGACACACTTAATTCTTCCAGTGTGAACTGTGACAACACATGTGAAGTATTGCCAGCTATAGAAGCTTATTAGTCGCCGTTCTTATGTTTTTAATTGGGCACCAATTATTAAAGAATCCCCCTTTATGACACCCAAATTCCATATTCCCAGTAAGAATACAGGTGGTTCAGCATAACCAGCTCAGGCACAATGAGCCACTTTTATCAAGGGGATAGGGAGTCAAAACTCTAATCCTAGTTTGAGTTCCCATGCTCTAGTCAAACGTGCAAGCAGGCCTTTCTAAGAATAAGCAGTTTGTCCTGTTATGAACACTTTCCTGCACAACTGGGCATAACATGAACTTTATCTAACTCACAAAATTCATGCAGTCAAATATGACAATAAAAAAGGTGCAATTAAGCAGAAAAATCTAGTTATTGTATTTGAGTGACTTCCTCACATAATCAGAACTCCCATCTTCACTGTTTGGTATTGTCATGCTTCACCATTAGGTGGCAGCATTATTAGCAGTGCCTTGGCAGGGTTCTGGGTTGAACTCTCAAAATATTTCAGGAAGTTCTTTTCTCACTTAGAGCAGAATATTTCCATCAGCATAGTAACTAAAAAAGAAATTAATCTGATGAGAAATTAATCTTGTGCATACTGGGAAGGAGGGATGATGAGGGATGAACTTCCTTCTAATATTAAGATAGTCCGTTTTATGCTGTAGATTTACCTGTTATAAATTTATAATTTTGCTTACTTCAGGTTTCTATATAATTAGCAACATTGTTACTGAAGTTTATCCCAAACCCCTTAACTATAGGCCTTAGTGCTTGAGGGGCCTGGGATTCAGCTCAGTGGTTCCACCGCCTGCCTCACAAGTGGAAGGACCAGAATTCGATCCCTGGTACCAAAAAAAAAAAAAGTGCTTGATTTGCACTTGGTAATTGTTCAATAAACTTTCAGGTTAAAAAAAAACAACTGTGTACTGGCAAACACTAATATCCTGACTCTGAAAGCTGCTATTTTACATCTAGCATTCTGAAATTTTAATTCTTGGCTCATAGACTTGACGAGAGTAGCATAGTAGGGCCGGGGATTTAGCTTTTGCGGGAGCCTGCCTCGAAAGCGCAAGGTCCTGAGTTTGAGTTCAATCCCCAATACCAAAAAAAAGCAGCATAGTAGGCAACCCTGATGCTATTGTTTATCCAAAGTTCACCCATTAGTTCTTTTAGCTCTCTGGCCGAACTATATCCTATTATGTAATCTAACATCTAAAACCTCTTTCCCTTAGAGTTTAGGTGGCAAAGAAATGTCATAATTTCTCACAAATTTATTAAGGATTCTATGATCCTATTATATCATTTACATTAAAGACTTTATCCTTATATAGAATTTCTAGATCTCAAATAATATGTCCAGCACTGAGATTAAGCTCAGGAGAATCATAAACAGACAAACATTAAAGTATTATTTTATAACCCTGGAAATACTGGAACCTAAAAACTGGAAAAATTTAAGTATCTTATGACTCAGCTTGATGCCAATTAAGTATTATCAAAATAAACAAAATGCTTATAATAATTTTAACATACTATAGCATTTCTAGAAAAATTTGCATGCATAATTTATGTAGGGGATTGTGGTCAGCTTTCTTTACTTCCATTACTGCTGTAATGTTGTATATATTTTTTTAATTAATAAAGCAGTTTTACTATTTATTTAGGGCATTTTTGGTTGAGAGTCCATGCTAGCCCTGAACTCAGTGTGACCCAGCCTGACCTCAAACTCATGGTAATCCTCCTGCCTCAGGCTCCTGACTGCTAGAATTATGGGGGGGTGCACTACCACACCCAGCAGTAAAGTAATCTTAATTAGCAAATTAGTAACTAAAATTTAGTAATCCTTTGTGAAGTAGTTCAAGAGTTTCAGACTGAAAATAGCTAACACATCTGGGTGCTGTGTTTGACAGCACAGTTCAGAACACTTTTCTCAGTCTGCAAAAATCCAATGGATTATCCTGATTGGAGTAAATTAAGGAACAGAATGAGTAATCTGCTCTGGGTTACATAGCCAGTAAGCAGATCTGCAGTTCTAATCCATTCAGTCTGGTCCCAGAGACCATGCTCCTGTTGTAGATGCTGCCATTGAATTGCTCATGAACCTCTCTGCTAAATACCAGTTTCCAGGTTAGCTAGCTGTATGTGTTAATGTAAGATAATAATACTGCAGAAACCATGAGTACACTCTGTATTTTAATAGATTTCTGAGTTTCCTTATCACTTGAATTTAATTATTTAATTTGTTAAATCTATTGAGACAGGGTCTATGTAGTTCAGGCTGATCTCAAACTCAGTGATCCTCCTGCCTCAGCAGGACTACAGGCATGTGCCACATGTGAAATGGTGTGATTTTTGATTTTCGAAGTATTATCCATCTAGTTAAAATATCTATAAAAATTTAATTTCCAATGAAATTTTAAGTTTGAAAAGTTAATCTCAAATATTAAGTAAAAGCAGTTTTAAAAATCAGCTCATGTGAAGATGTTATTTGTGTTTAGCATGTTCGGAAAAAAGCTGCAGAATGGAAAATCAAGATAGATATTATTGCAGGTAAGATAAATCTCAATCCTAATTATCTAAAAGGGCCAACATATATTAACCCAACCAAAATGTTTATACAAGTAATGAGAAAATATACTATAGCATAGAATGTTTTTCATTGTGGTAAATGTGTATGATTGGTAATGGACTGGAGATGGAGGAAATCCAGACAAACATTCAATTTATGCATTTTACTGATTTTTTTTTTTCAGTACTAAGGATTGAACTCAGGGTCTCTGCACTGAGCTCTACACACCCAACCCTTTGTTTTTTTGTTTTAGTTTGATAGGGTCTCACTAAGTCATTAAGCTCCCCAGGCTGGGGTCAAACTTTAAATCCTCCTACCTCAGGTTCCCAGAGTGCTGGGATTACAGCTCTGTGCCACCACATATGACTTGCTGACAATTTCTAATAGCACCCAGGTTTTAGTTACTCCAGTCATATAGCATCACATGAATAAAGGCATGGCTCATAGTTGGTTAAGACCTTGATTTAAATCTATTCATGGAAAATGCCACCAGGTTATCCCTAACTAATCTCTCAATTTTCTGACTAAGTCAAAAAATACTGACCTCCTTCTTTTTGGTGGTAGAAAAGATATCAGTAGTCACATTATGAGTAAATCGTATTTAATACATTTTTTTTTTACTCAGTTGGGTAATATTCACAAATATTACAATGGGGAAAATATAATTAGGAATTATAATGCAAATACTTTTTTTTTTGGTACTGGGGATCAAACTCGGGACCTTGCACTTTCGAGACAGGTGCAAGGAACCACTCAGCTAAATCCCCAGCCCTGTCTTAGGTTTTTTTAGAAAAGTATTTGCATGGGGTTGGGGATTTAGCTCACAAGCACAAGGTCCCAAATTCAATCCCCGTTACCAAAAAAAACAAAAAACAAAAAAACCTAAGACAAAGTCTAGCTATGTAGTCTGGGCTGGCCTCAAACTGTTTCCATGTGCTATCACACCCTAGCTAATACAAATACTTTTGAAAAGCCTGAAAGAGTTCGAGAACTTATTTACATAATAAAATCTTAATCATGAATTAGCTTAACTAGATGTTATTACTCATAATAATTAGTAACCATGTATTTAAAAGATCTGTTGGTTTTCCTATTATATTCAGTATTGTCATTTCTTATGCAGCATACTTAACATAGATAAGTAATATAGATCATTGTATCAGAACAGTCCCAGTAGTATACTGAGGCAAAACCTTACTATACTCTACCCAGACCTTCAGTGTTGACATCTCTGGAAGTTTGTTAGAAATACAGAATTTCAGGCTTCACTCAAACTTACTAAATTTCAGCAAGATCTTGGTGCTTAGGGTACACATGAATAATTGAGAGCAGTGACTTAAAGGGTTATAATTTAGGTTGAGGTATATAAAGGATAGCCGATTGCCATTTTTCTAAAATGCATCAGTAGAGGAAATATTAAAATGGGTTTTCATTTTAGCACTTAGAAGCAAATCAGTGACCTATCATTACTAAAATCTGAGTAAGACCATTTTGAAATAAGCTTGGTTATTTTAAGATTATGTCAGCAACGATTACTAGGAAATTAAAAATAGAAAGGTCATCACTTTCAGAGGGTTTTTTGGTAATCCTTTCAAATTCTTCCCCATAATCTCAAATTTTGGTGTAAATGGTCAAACAGCAGAAAAGTCACACCCAATTTAATCACAGCCAGTCTTGGAGCTGAATCAGGTCAGTACTTGGAGAAATGTTCAAGTGACAGGTCTGAGCTGTTAAGCTTACAAGCATTTAGTATTTTCTTAGTTTTATTTTTAGTTAAAGGTGGTAAATGTTTGGAAATGTAATTTTAATCTTTATGTGGCTTTTGTTTTACAGAGCTTCACTATGACCTGCCAGCATTATATAACTTTCATAAAAAGAAATCAGTAAGTCTCTTGATTCTGGCCTAACATTCAGTACTGAAAAACTCTTCAATCAGTAATTATTTCCACTATTATCAAGTTGCCTGGGTAAATAAAGAAAAGTCGGGGCGGGGGGTGGATTTAGCTCAGCAGTTCCGTTGCAAGGACCTGAGTTGGATCCTGGTACCAAAAAAAGGCAGACCAGAGATGAGCTATTATTAAGTGTGAGAAGCTGGGTGTGGTGGTGAACACTTATAATCCTAGCATTTAGGAGGGTGAGGCAGGAAAACTGCTGAGTTTGAAGCCAGCCTAGGCTGCACAGTAAGTTCAAGGCCAGCCTGAACTCACTCAGGCTGTCTCAAAAAACCAAGACTGTCTCAAAAACCAAATAAAACAAAGTGTAAGAAGGGCTCACAATAAACAGCCAATATTCTATAGATGAAGATCTTAAATAGGGCACAAAAAGCAAAAAGTGAATTCTTTTTATATAGTATATATTTTGTTATTTTATACTAATACATTCTCATATTACAAAGGCGATTTAGTGGAAGAATCTTCCTTTTGATATTTGAGTCATGTGAACACAACTATACATTTTTTAAAAAATGTGTGTGGATAACAACAACAAAAAGACAAGTTAAAACAACAACAAAATAACTGTCCTTTTTTACAGGTGGACATTGAAGTGGACCTAATTCGGTTTTCTTTTTAAAAGCCTCCAAAGACAAAAAGCAGCTTAAAATCTAAGATGAATTAAAAAAAAAAAATTGGTTACTAAACTACTGGTCTCCAGCACCATTTTCTGTTTTCTGTTGTTTTGATGCAGGTTCTTCTTTGTCTGTTTCTTCTCTTGCTCTTTTCACTGGTCCTGTAAAATAACAGACTTTTTGTTAAATTCACTGTGACTACTGCTCCATTTTAATACTGAGCACAATTATTAACAGTTCTGCTTTAATGCAACAACTTTCCTATACTAATGAGAAAGTTTTTTTCTTTTAGTACAGAGCTTTGGATTGCTAAACTTACTTACCAAATATTCTGTCTCCCGCTTGTAAAAGAGCATAGAGTAAATCATAATAATCCAAGAATATCACTTCCACAGAAATAAAAAACTGTATCCCTGTTCCCTGTGGCAAGTCATTTCTCATAAAGTCCAGATTTCTCAAAAAACTACCCAAGCACCTAAAAAAAACTTACCAGCTGCACCATTTTCATCACGTTCTTCATCACTATCAAATTTTGTTTTCTTGCCCTGAAACTGTACTTTTCCTTTAGCAGATCCAGGCTGGGCAGCTTTATTTCCTTTTCCTTTCCCTTTAAATCTGCGACCTGTAGAGACATAATTGAGGATTTAGTAAAAAGAAAATTGCAAGCATGTTATCATTATTTTTGAACACGGATTAAAAGTTTTACTCAAATGATGTAAAATAACCAAACTGACAATAAAAATCAAAATAAATGACCTTTTGATTTCCATTTGTTTAGAGATTCTTGTTGATCTTCTATGATTTTTTTCAAAGCTTCTTTCTCCACCTCTCCTTCCAGTACTTCCCACGTCACTTCTTTGTTCCTTAATTGTAGGGTACCATTGTTTGCATCTTTGGCTTTATCCAGTGCTTCCTTGGCTTTTTCTTTAAATAGAATTACTCCCTAAACCAACAACAGAAAGTGAAAGCCATTTAGTTTGTAGCCCCACAATTAATTTCTATACTTACAATGTTTCATATCCTGCAAATTTTCTATCCTATTACTAATTTCAATGAATTTTAATGAACATTAGAAAAAGAATGCTATAGAAGTAAACTATAGTCACCAAGGTCAATTTATAATTCAGAAAACACCAACATCACGTCCAATGACAGAAACGACAAAATGGAAAGTAATCAAGTAGAGACTATTTTAATGACACAATTTAAATATTGCTTTCCACCAATTTTATCTTCTAAAAAATAAGTTTCTATGGATTTTTAAACTGATTACTAAAATGTATTTGAATGTTTCCAAACCTCTTTTGCTCCTCTGACAAAGTCTATCCATTTTATTTCACCATGATTTGAGAAAAGGACGTGCAAATCTTCTCTACAGGTCTGATCATCTAAGTCACCTGAGAACTTCAGCAAGCATCCAATCTTTTCTTCTAGAGATTTCTATGAAAATACACAAGGCAAGGGCTGGGGATTTAGCTCAGTGGTGCCACGCCTGCATTGCAAGCACAAGGTCCTGAGTTCAATCTCCCGTACCGCAAAAAAAAGAAAATACACAAGGCAATCAAAAACTTTTTTAAAAAACAACCACATAACCAGAAATGGCTCACAACAGTCTATATCTATACAAGGAAAAAGGTACTGAGAAAATGCTATTTTAATGTAGTTTAATATTATATTCTGTCATCTTTTACAACAGCTTCTAATTTAACTTAATTTCTTCTATAATATTTAACTAGTCAAACTACATAAACCTACTTACTAAGCTACAAGAGCAACAATTTTAGGCAATATTATTTGTGTATTACTTAAGTGCAATGGTAACTTTAGATCTGCTTACATATTTTCTTTGAAAAGTTCTCAAACATGTGGGGTATAACATGTGCAAGGCCCTGGATTCAATCCCTAGTGCTGCCCCCCAAACACACATACACACTAGTTCTCAGATTTTTTAAAAAAGTTTTTCTAACTTAAATTATAGATGTTAGATACTAATATTATATACTTACCATTTCAGCATCTTCTGCTAACTTCTGTTTTTCTTCTTGCTCTCTACAAATGAACATGTTCTAATTACGTTTCTGCTTACTATGTAAGAAAATTAAATCCTAATAAATAACTTTGATCATGACCATTAAAACTATTTAATAACTAAAGCCAGTCCTTAGGTTTTCTGATCATCCAATGCTAGACTGCAATGGAATATGACCTCAACATAGCAAGGCAACTTGAACTCAACATTTCACTATCAATAAAGAAAGGCTTGTTACTGTTTATTTCAAAGCTCATCATTACTTCTTCCAAGAACCATTAACTTTAACCTTGTAAAAGCTTTAAGAAATTCATGATTAATTCAACATACTTACTGTTTAGCTCTTAATTTAGCTTCCACTTTATTTTGCTTTCTTTCTTCATTTTTCTTTGCAAAATAATCTTCCCTAAACACAAAATACAAAGGCTAAGGTCATGAAAACAAAGATAAGACTAAATTATTTTGAATGACTGAAGCATGACATAGCAAGGAATTTACACTTTGAACATAATCACCTAAAATCTCAAAATATGACAAGGTTACAGTTTAACTAAATGGCTAGACAAAACAGCAAAAAAACTTACTTAAAAAGTATTAGCAAGTCTGTGTCTTTATACTTCTGGCCCGGAGTTTCTACAAACTTCTTAGCAGATTCAATGTTATCAAACACAGCAAATATTGATCCCTATTAAAAAAAAAAAAAAGTTATGGCCCATATATCATCTTACAACTAGAGAAAACCTCTATCATCATAAAATCATACCTTAAATGCTTTGTGTAATGTTCTTCTCATCTGGATATTTAGTACTTGACCTTTATCTTCTAGCCATTCTTTGATATCATCGAGGGTTGCATCCGTTGGGAAGCCTTTCTGTGAAAAGTGGGAAGATAGGCTTCAAAATAATTCCACTGTGTGCAGAGACAAAACATTACTCACAGGTTAAAAAACTGTGTGGAGTTTGTATTTTACATGCACAAGGTAAGAAATTTTAAATAAAACTATAATATTTTATCTGAAACAAAATGGTTAAAATTTGAAGAATGTATTATATTATTTATTTTTGTATCACTGAGACCTTCCATAATAAAAAAACTAAAAAATTAATATGCTATAAAAATTGCTAGAGTTTAGCTGTTGTTAAAGAACAGTTGATAACACACTGGGTGCTTAAAATATGTCAAAGACTGTCATAGATGGTATTTTTCATTTAACTTTCACATTTCAATTAGGTGATATTATCACACTTATGAAAATAAGGCTTAGGTTAAGAACACTGTCAAAGGACATATAGGAAGTACTGACACTGTGATCCTGAGCCCATATTCTTACTCCACTCTTTCTTCTTTCTAAAGAAATGTAAGACATTAAATGCATTAAAGACTTACAATATAAACAGATCTGTTTTTTACATCATTTTTATACTCATCAGTCACTTCAGGAAGGGGTTTGTTTGGAGATCTTCTGATTTTAGTTTTATCTTCACTGATTTCCATGAGTTCTGCTTTAGATTTGCTCAATGCTTCAACTATTACATTAAAGTCTGTTGTTAGGCGATTGAGCCTGAAGAGATATAAGTATTTTAAGACTCAGTACTAGTACTCATTATTAATAAAAATTACACAGTTCATAAAGGTTATGAAAAGATTTTTGGGCTCCTCGTGTAGCTCAGCAGTAGAGTGTTTGCCTAGCATGCACAAGGCCCTCAATTTGAACCAGAATGTAAACAAAAGGGTTTTTACCTGTTGAATTTTATCATTATTTCCAAGGGTACCCAGCCTTCATCCAATTTGATCTGTTCCTTTAAAAATTTGTCCCGTGGCAAATTGAAGTCTCCAAAATAATACTGTAAGATAATTCAATATATTTCATATTTCAGAGCATTATATAATACCGAGTCCAATCCTGGAACTTTACAAATTCTATTCCTTAAAAATATATGTTGTAACTTTTGTTTCTATTCAGTGTAAAAAGAATATTTTATTAAATAAAAAGTGAAAGAAACAAATTCCTTTAATGGGGGGGCACTTGAGACAGGGTCTCGCTATGTAATTCAAGCTGGCCTTCAAATCACTAACCCCTGGCTAGCCTCGAACTCAGGGTAATCCTCCTGCTACAGCCTCCCTAGTTCTGGGATTATAGGTATATGCTACCATGCCCGGCTCTAAGCACTCTGATTTTTAGAACTAAGAAAAAACAATGAATATTTATCTAATTCAAGCAAAAAAGCTCTCAGTTTAAAGGCAAATAAAAGATTGAGGATATAGCTCACTGGTAGAATTATGTGCTTAGCTTGTGCCAAACCCAATCTCAGCACCACAAAAACAAGAAGAAATAAGAAAAAGAAAATCAACTATGACTACTTGGAATGTCAAAAGTAGCATAAAAGGAAAAAGTTAAGTTTGTTAAAGATTCTTATAGGCTAAGAGGGAAAGAAAAATACAGTAAACAGTCATAGAAAACTAGATAAAGGACATTTTTTAAAGCACAAAAATTAAAGAAACAATGGAAAGCAACAAGATAGCATTTTTCACCTACCTTGTTAAAATTCTATAAAAAAACAACAGAACCTAGCATTGACCTGAACAGATAATGATCATACAGGCAGAGGTGTAAAATGGCAACAGTGTCAAGATTTTATTTTTAAATATGCATAACTATTCAGCCAATAGTTTCTTCTAGATATCTTAAAAGAAATCAGTAAATATGTTTGCTAGGATTAATATAGAAAGTGATGCACGTGCCTGTAATCTCAGCCACTCAGGAGGCTGAGGCAGGTGGATCACAGGTTAAAGGCAGCTTGGGCAACTTAGGGCTGGGGATGTATTTCAGTCCTTCCTGGGTTCAATCCCCAATAATGCAAAAACAACACAAAACCACCCCCCCATCCACATACACACATACATATATATATACGTATATATACATATACATACACACACACAAAGTATTATGGATAAAAATTAGATCCAAATGCTAAGGAGAATGCACAAATCACTGATGACACAAAACTTTGCTTCTCCAGAAATACAGCCCATATTTGGTGAGGGAAAGGGAAATAAAAATTACATTAGATATGTACTACTCTGGTGGGGAATGTTTAGGAAATCTCTTTCTTCACACAATTTTGCTGTAATCCTCACACTGCTCTACAATAAAATGCCCAGAAACCAGCTGTAGTGGGGCACATGCTTGTAATCTTAGCACTCAAAAGGACTGCCCCAAGTTCCCCACCTGGGCTACACAGTGAGACCCTGTCTCAAAAAAAAAAAAAAAAGAAAAGTAAAGTAAAACACAATGCCCATTAAAAGATATTATACTAGTGTGAGCGTGGAACAAAGTGGTAAAAGGCTTTTAATCTTGGACCAGGGATTTAGCTCAGTGGCACTGCGCCTGCCTCCCAAGCGCAATGTCCGGAGTTCAATCCCCGGTACAGAAAAAAAAAAAAGGCTTTTAACCTTGATTATTCAAAAGGGTGAGATTTGCCGGATATGGTGGCACACTTCCAGTATTCCCAGCACTTGGGAGGTTGAGGCAAGAGGATTGCCACAAGTTTGAGGACAGCCTGAGCTACGTAGTGAGTTTAAGGTCATCCTGAATTAAAAAGCGAGACCCTGTCTTAAAATTAACAAAGAATAAATAATCTGTCATTTTTCTCCACAATTACAAAAAAACTGATACAAAAAAGGTTGGAAATTAAATGGCAAAGTGGTGTAAGTTAAATAGTTCCGAGATTTGGAAAAAAAACCATGATTGTTCCTGAGTAAGAACATAAATTAGGGATAATTCCCCCACATGATTGTTACTAGGACTGTAAAACTTCACCCTGGACATAACATCTCAATTTTTTTAAAATGCTAAAAGGGCCGGGGATTTAGCTCACTGGTGCTGCTGCCTGTTTCACAAGTGCAAGGTCCTGAATTCAATCCCCGGTACCAAAAAAAAAAAAAAGTAAAAGTAAAATATAGTCAAACTCGTAATAGCAGAGAACTGGCCAGAATAAACTACTGGGACCTTCAAGGATATAAAGTATTATTTAACAGGAAAAGCACTTACCATGGATTTTTAGGTTACTCTAGTACGTGCCAGGCATTCTCCTTGTTTTTACATCTTTTATTTTTTCTCCAAATCACCTTATGAGAATACTACTAGTATCCTCATTTTTTACACTAAGAAACTAAAAATGAAAATGGTTAACACCAGTCTGTAGTGTTACCTTTTGAATGTGCATACCTCTTCTAATTCTAAGAAGAGAAGCCAAATATTTAATAGGTCTACATACTAAAATTCAATGTTGTTACTTGTTTTGAGGGCCCCAAATTTCAAGGAACTTGTTTTTGCATTTTAATAGCACAAAAATCATACCTCAATTTGATGACAGATTTTGGCCTCCAGAGCAGCTAGTTTTTCATTATCACCATTTTCAGCCATTGTGGCTAATCTGTAAATTTCCCAAATTGGCAGGAAAAGATTATCATTTTTTTCACATAAAACTCAAGACTAACCAGAAAAAAATACCTTAAAATTATTAATATGCCTTTGTTTTCATGAAAGTCAAGAAATTCTAATTTCACAGGTTTGGTTTCTCCACTCACTTCTCAAGTAATATCTCAACAAAGGAACACTAAGGGGTAAATAATGGAAACGTGAAGAACTATGGATAATCTGCCTCACCTTTCAATAAACGACTGTCTCCTCTTTTACAACAAAAAACTATTTTCATTTAGCTGTCCTTTAAGGGGAAAAACTCCACATCTCAACCTTTAAACAGATCAATTTATTATTATTATTATTTTGGTACTGGGGATTGAACTCGGGTCCTTGCGCTTGTGCAGCAGGCGGCGAAACCACTGAGCTAAATCCCCGGCCCTCAACAGATGAATTTATATAGTGTGTGTGTGTGTGTGTGTGTGTGTGTGAGAGAGAGAGAGAGAGAGAGTGTGTGTGTGTGAATATATAACTATGGCTCCCTGTGTTATTTGGTGGGGGTTGTATTATTTTTAAAAATTAGTCACAGCTGCTTACCAAAAACTTGATATGGGCAAGTTATGTATCATAACTCTTAAGATGAAAAAAATCCAATATTAAAATTTATGAGCTTAAATTATACTCTGTATGTTAAGAAATATATGAAAATTTAAGAGTACAGATACACTAAAACCACTTAAACTGGGGGAGAGTGTGCCTACTAATTCATTAATGCATTAACTTATAACCAGTTTCCACTGCAGGGAAAAAAAGCAGGGTGTTATGTTAGTTTGTTAGAAATTACAAACCAAGTCTTCAGACATAAACTACTTGCTTCCAGCAATCTATTAGACCACCTGGTCATCTGTACAGTACAAAGTGCATCAACAGGAACTCATCCAGAATATTTGCCATTGGCTGAACTTAGTGATAACCTACCATCAGTACACTTATTGGAGGCATTGCTTCACACATTGACACTGTTGTACTACAACCTGGACGCCCACTGTAAGTTCTTGCACGGGGGATCTGTGTTCAATCTTATGCATCGGCGGTTTGTCTACTACGTATCTATAACCCTAAATTATTACGTGATATAAGGCTCCTGATAAAGCTATGAGATAAAAGAATCATTTAACCCCTAAAAGACTTTTTGCCCTCTCAGTTTTAGAATCTTGTCCCATCCGATATTTTCCCAGAATGTATAACTAACTAGAAGTGAGATATCACCCACGCTCTCCAGGTTCCCATAGAATCAGCCTGATGGGAGTGAAGGACCCCAAAAGCCTGAGAGAGTGACGCCAGGGGTCTTCCTGCGTCCCTGGCTTCCCAGGCCTCCAAGGGTCCCCACAGACTCGCCGGCGTCCACCCGACGCCGACCTCCCCAGGAATTCGGAGGTGGCCCGAAATACCTGCTTCCGCAGCCTGGAAAGCAGAGGAGTTTAAAGACGGAAAGGCTGCCGAGGCGATGCCGGGCAAGACCCTACTAGAACCGCGTCCTGCGGCTACGCTGGCTCGCCTAGGGCCAGCACGTGGGGCATCCCCGGCGCCCCGTCCTCCGCGGGCTGCTCCAGCCCTGCACGCCGCCTCCGCTGCGGCCCACGCGGCGCCGGCCCGAGGCGAGGGGGTAGGAGGGACGCGGAGCGCGAGACAGTGCTCGGGAAACGCGCCGCCGCGCACCAGGCGAGGCAGGACCTCTGCACCTTTTCATTAGCCACCGACAAGCTCACCTTTAAGGCCGTGGTCCCGCACGCGCGCCACAGGTTCACTAACAACAACGAAGACCTTCACACTCCTCAGCACCGCCGGCCTAACTAACGCGCTCAAAGAAGATGGGCGCCCTCCCGGCAGTCCTTGCGGGCCCACTGGGCGTGGCTATGGAGCGCCGAAGCGGGCGGCGCGCTCTGAACATGCGCTGTGGCCGGAGGCTCCCACGGCCCTATGAGTCCCGCCCTCGCTTCCAGGAGACTGGTTTAAAAATGTTCTGTATGGTGTTGAGGAATGGCTGGTGGTTTGTGTTAGGATGAAGATTTTAAAATATTTGTGGAGTGCACTTGTAGCCCAGTCTTTCTTCTGACGTTTCATCCATATGAAATGTTTGGCTTTTTTTTCCCCCAAAAAAGTATTTTGTAGTATATAATCTATCGTGTTGTAATAGTTCTAAAAAATCACAAACGCAAGCAAAAAATTTTTTTTAATTAAAGATTTATGGAATTTCTCATAGAATTGAGAAAACAATACGACAGGGTGTTTTAAGAGCTGGGACTCTGGAATCAAACTATTCAAACATCGTTTATCCTGCGTACAAACTGTGTGACGCTGGGCAAATTACTCAACTTTTCTGTCTAAATGCAGGCAATAATCAGGACATCACCTACTTATCCGGATGTTCCGAGCATTAAACATGATGCAGTACGTACACGGATGAAGAATGCTCCCGCGCACTGCGAGAAAAGCAGCACGTGTTAGTTTAGAGCAAACAAAATCGTGACTTTAGAAGACTAAAGCGCCATCTAGTGTACAAACTTGTTATTATCTCTGCTCGAGCCCCTCCCTATTAGTATTGTATTTTTGCTCAACAATCTTAGTCATTCAATTTGAAGGAGTCCTTCTTTCTCCTTGTTGGTGAGGCAATCTTTTCATTTTCCCTTCAGTTGAAAAATTTAAATGATGTTGGTGAAATGGCCTGTTAAATTCTCTCGGGGCTCTTGGCGGTTCCAAAACAGATAAAACGTTATTACTTTGAAAAAAATGGAGTTATAGTTTGAATATAGACTTTACATCAGGCCAAACACTGAAAAAAACACTTAACAGCATTATGCTCCGGTAGTTTAAATTCAAATTAATTATCTTTTATTCACTCAATAAAAGCGTATCTAATTCCAACTGTGTGCCCGATATAACGAAAACCTCAATTCTCCTTTTGACCATGTCAGTGAGAATATAGGTATTTAACAGAATTAATCATACAGGTGTCAGGGTAGTCGGCCTTATCCATGAGCAAGGTGTTGGTCGTGTGCCTTACTAATGTCCTGGTGTGGAACTTGACATTGGGAATAGAAAAAAGACCCAGACTTCCTGGAGACAGAGCCACCTAATCAAATAAAACTTTATGCCCCACCATGTCTGGGTAGAATGCAGGTATGGTCTGTTCTCAGAAACTGCACTTGAGGAACATTTAATGTCTTTCAGGTCCCTTGGCCTTTGCTCTCCCTCACTTGTCTTTTCTTGTCTTGGCCTCCAGGGGCCAAGCTTTCTGTGGCTTTCACTCTTGGGGGGAAGGAAATGGACTCCTAGCAGCACCCTAGCAGGCTCCAGGGTTCAGTGAAAGCACCAAGGAGAAGAATCTCGCTGTTGCCTTTCTCGACGGTGGCATAATTCTGTAGGTCAGTTCACTAAAGACCATTCTTCTCAATATCCATTCCATACAATCATTTCTGAGAGCAAATTGATAATATTTGCTAATGTTTAAGATTTACTGGTAGCCCAGTAAATCTGCGCTACAAAATATATTCTATGGAAATTTTCCAATCTGAGCAGGAAACATGTTCAACAATACTCATAGCAACATGGTTTGCAGAGGCAGGAATTTGAAAATCAACTCAAGATGGGTTTGGTGGTCCATGCTTGTTATCCCAGCACTCTGGGAGACTGAGGGAGGAGGATCAGGAGTTGAACCCAAGCCTGAGCAACTTATTGATTAAAACTTGAATGAAAATGTATACCTAACGTTCAAGGAAATCGTGTTACTATAATCCCAGGGTTGTGTCCCATGGTGACAAAGAACGAACCTTGGATGGAGGAGGTATAAAGGCAAGAAAGTAAAAGGCCAGGATGTAAAGCTCCCACTAGCTAGGAGGATCTGAGTAGGATACACACAAGGAGTCTTTGTCTATGGGTTTTTAAGGGATATAGAGGGGATGGGCCATCATGTAAGGACTATGATCTCTACCCTACAGGAGACTACATACTTCTCAGGGTCCAATCTATGCAGCATCTTTGCAGTGTCCATGCAAGGCCATGCATCTATGAGCCAATGGCCTGCCTGATCATGCTCTGAGGAGGTCTCTGACAGTCACAGGTCATATGGCTGACATTTTTGCGAGATCCTTGAGGGTCATGACTCAGCTCACTCCATTTAGGGGCATCTGTCCCTAGTGCCTCACAGAATCTTCTTGGTATATGTGCTCCTGAAGCAAGCACTAGAATCCTCTTTTTTTTTTTTTTAGAATCCTAACTCTTGTCTCACTAATTTTTGTCACAATTGGAGTACCCTGATAATATCTGGATGATATAAAGTCATTGAATTTTTAACTTTCTTTTTTTTTTTTTGTAGTACTGGGAATCAACTCAGGACCTTGCACCTGCAAGGCAGGCAAGGTGCCACTGAGCTAAATCCCCAGCCCAAATTTTCAACTCTTAATGACATCATTTTTTAGCACAGTTTCTTAGACTATCCAAACAAATTCATTGTTTTGCTGGTAGTCATTTATACTTCCTATAGCTATTTTGATAAGTAAAATTTAAAATTAACATTATGGTTTAAAAAAAACCTCCATGTTAAAAGCCATAAGCCCAGTATTTCAGTACATCTTATATCCAGCACCACATGGTATGTATTTTAAGATTTCTGCAACTATAATACTACCCTACTTGTTTGATTTGTGTTTCATGACTATGCAAACTTGATATTATTAAAAGTAGTCACAGCTGTGTAGAGTTGTAAAGCAGGAAATCATATTTTTTTGTTTTTCTTTTTTACATATTATGTTGAAGCAGACACTTTTCTAAGCAGTTAGTAAGAGCTTTCTAGAGGAATTTTAACTATTCTAAAGACTGAAACATCTGTGTATACTCTACAAAATGCTACAAAATTATTCTTGTGTAAAGAGTAATGAAAGCCTTTGCAATTTAAAATTTAGGAGAAAAGTATTATAGAGGTGTTCCTGACAGTTAGTTCATTTAAAATGAGGTTTTGGGGGGCTGAAGTTGTAGTTCAGTGGTAGAACATGTGCTTAGCATGCTGTAGGCCCTAGGTTTCAGCCTCAGCACCAAAAAAGAGAAGGAAGGAATGTTTTTCCAGATTTTATTTTTTTGTGTTATTTATCTTTATTGTGATTCATCTATTTATTATAAATAGATATTTACTCTCCTACTTAATTTTGTCTTCATTTTCTTAAAGAGAACCTTCCCAATTGCATTTAGCAACATGTGCCATAAATTTTGCTATTACCCTGTTCAGGATACACACTTAAAAACCCCCAAAAAACAAAAGCACACAATAAATAAACGAGTACTAAGTGAACTTGAATTACAAGAAGGCAACGGGGGGCGGGGATTTAGCTCAGTGGTTCTGCTGCCTGCCTTCCAAGCACAGAGCCCCGAGTTCAATCCCCAGTACCAAAAAAAAAAAACCTCTTCATTTGACAAGAAGGCAACAGTTGGACATGATAGCACACACCTGTAATCCTGGCACTCTAGGTGCTGAGGCAGGAGGATCATAAGTTCAAGTTCAGCCTGTGCAAAGTAGTGATTCAGCAAGACCTTGGTTCAAAATTTAAAAATTTAAAAAAAGGGCTGGGGAATGTAGCTCAGTGTGAAGGCCCTGAGTTCAATCTCCAGTAATGAATGAATGAATGGATGAATAAATAATTAAGTAAATAAATAAATCTAAAAATTAAAAAGAGCTGGGGGTCGTAGCTCAGTGTGAAGACCCAGGTTTCAGTCCCCAGTACCGGGAGAGAAAGGAAGGGAGGGAGGAAACAAGGAAAAAAGGAAGTTTTAGGAACCTCATTAAGGAAGGAGGAGTGTTATCATTATGTATGCCCAAAATGTACCAAAAACTGTTTTACTATTTTAAAAAAAGGGAGGAAAATAAAGCAAAACCAAGCTGAGATGGGTCAGTTGCAGTGTGGCGGAAATACTGGCCCACATAGCTATGGCAGCAAAAAGGTGGAAAATCTGAAGCAAATTTACGTTTTGTTGTTGTCTTTTTGTTTTTTATATTTTTCTATTTGGTACCAGGGATTGACTCAGGATCTTGTGCTTGCAAGGCAGGTGCAGTGCCACTGAGCTAAATCCCCAGCCCTACTTTTTTTTTTTTTTTTTTCTTTTGAGACAGGGTCTCGCTATGTAGTTCAGACTGGCCTCAAACTCACTGCATAGCCCAGGGTGGCCTCGAACTCACTTATGATCCTCCTCCCTCAGCCTCCCGAGTGCTGGGATTACAGGTGTGTGCCACCACGTCCGGCTTGGAACGATTTCTCAAAAGGAGATCTCAGAGCTTTGAGCTACATAGCGAGACCCTGTAAAGGCGAACTCAAAGGACTGCAACTTTTTTATTTGATTTTTTGTTTCCTTTTTTATTATGGAAAAATTTCAAGCATAGCACAAAAGCATAAAGTGTCATGTAGACTCAGACTTCACATTCATCATCAGATGACTGATCCTGTTTCATTTCATCTGTATGTAACCCACTTCCCCAGAGGCTCCACAAGACTCTTTAAGAGTGAACTCAGACATCTTGATCTGATCATAATATTTTGTGTACATACCTTTAAGTTAGTTTTGTTTGTCTTTTTTGTACCGGGGACCAAACTCCGGACTTTGCACTTGTGAGGCAGGCGGTGGAACTAAGTTAGTTTTTAAAATACTATATTGGCTATTTTTTTGTTTTTCATATTTACCATTATAAAACTAAAATTTAACAAAAACCATTTAATATCTTCAAATATCCAGTTAGTATTCAAATTTTTCTGATTGTTTTATAAATTTCTTTTCAGTTGCTTTTTCAAATCAAGATACAAATCCTTTTCATGTATCACACGGTTGATACATCTCCTAATTTCTTTTAATCTATGGTTTCTTGTATGTTTTTCTTCCATTTATTTGTTGATGAAGTCAAACTATTTTTT